AGAGAATTCTTTAAATGTCAAAGTGTTAGTCACATTCAAAGAACTGTGTAACGCCCTTCCTAAAACACCTTCATTGGCTCCATAAAGCAGCATATTCACTTCAAGATCCTCCTCCACATTATAAAGCTCTAATTAACCTTGTATATTCATCTTATTAAAGTGCTGATGAATAAAATGTATTATAGTTATATATTATTATTATTATTATTATCATCATCCCAAAAAGGGAAAATATCCAATCTCTGAATGTGAATTCATATATCCAAGCTCATAATAATTGTAAAACTATGTGTTTTTAATCTAAATGGATTATGCACCCCAAATTGTCCAATTGTTCATTTCATGCAACAATATATTTTGTACGGACTCAAAATCAATATTTGATTTGACTGAATTACTATATATGTATTTTTTTTTATTTATCATCACTTTTTTCAGTTTTGCATTTGAATTACTAGTATAGCTTTATAATTTTTTTTTCAATTGCAGGGTATGTAAACTTTCAAGCACAACTGTATAGGTGCCAAGGACAATTTGTTTTTAATGGACATTTAGAAGTTTTTGGATTTGAAAATGTCCTCAGGTGGCAATTTATAGTCTGAAGGTTTTTTTTATGATATTCCATCCTTATTTAGCTAACAAGACAGAAATTAACAGGAAAAACGTTTTTTAAAAAATATACATATTTCTTTATTCTTCTCCAGATTTCTCCTAACAATTAACACCACTAGTAAAATAAATGTAGATATTTGCTTAATTTATCCATACATTTGTATTTGCAATTTTTCAAACACTACATCACTGAATAACATGCCTCCATCTCACAGATGTGCTCAGTTGTCCATAGAGATTTCCCCAAGCAAACAAAGCCCTTTCACCCTCTCTGACTCCTCACCCCCCACCCCCAACCCCATCCATCTCGCCTGCTCATGCTCTCCCTCTCTCTCTCTCTCTCTGTTCTCCCTTCAATTTCACACCAATCAGAGTGCAGCATGTAGCTCCCACTCACTGGAATCAGAAACACAAGATATCTTTAGTCTTGAGCTGCACAATTTAGTAATAATAACACAGCATTGGCTAGACAGTCTTTTTTCAGCCAAACCTTTTATTTTTTGATAGGGTAGTGATATAAAAGGAGAAGAACAGGGGGAAGCTGATCTCTCAACCGCTAGACTTAAGGTAAATGGTTTGTATTAAATTATTCTTTGGCACTGTTATGTAATAATTTTTTCAAACTAAACTGACAATGATTGGGGCTATGTGGGTTATCATTTAGGCTTCACAAGCTTGATTACTTTTGTCTTATTTACATGCATGATTACAGGAAATGTGTTGTCTTTACTACTGATATTGAAAAAGTTATAAAGCTGCATGTGCAGAAAACATTGTTGGTACTTTGTGATGAAGTTTTGTAAATCTACAGTACCTGTGCATGCAGCATGTCCACATTTCTGTATAAGAGGTTGTACATTTATATACAATGTTCTGTTACTACAATTAATCTTAAGATAACTTCATCCTTCTCATGTAATGCTGACTAACCGAGGGGTTTTTTATTTAATACCGTAAAAGACTGGCCAAGACTTACTCAAATGACAACTCGGGGCAATGTATACATTTTCATATCTCTACTCAGAACTTAAATGGTTAAATAATTCTTGCCTTATTGGCTCCTGAGTCCCTAATATCTTAATAACACATACCATTTATTAATTGAAATAACATTGAATGCTACCTCTGTTGTTAAATATCTCTTTCAGCAAGGAGCCACGTTTCCGATCACAAAAGTACCTATTCTGATTAATTCAAACTAATAAAAAAAAACTAAAAAACTTTTCTGGCCTCTAAAGAATGTACCTGCCTTAAACTTTGAGTTTGGTGATACACTACACACAAGTTAATGGTATTTATATACATTACCCAATTTTAAATTTTTACATTATGTCTACATTCAAACCTCATTTTGATTTAATCATATTGCTTATTTTCTAATAAATGATAGTGGTGTAATTCAATACAATTTAGAAGGACCACATACTGAATAAACCATGTAAAAAATTCTAATATAAAAAGTTGATACTTAATAATTCCTGGGCTTTTGCTATTGCACATATAACATCAATATGCATTGTTTTCCTGAAACCCTAGTTAGCCTCAGCAGAAGGTCACTTACACTGATTCTGGTACTATTGGAGAGGTGTTCCTTTTAAAAGTAAGATTTTCCTTTCCACACTCATTGCATGCATGCTTGATGTGAGGGATTGCTGCAGAGTCAATAATAAAATGCAAGTAAATGTCACCACATGCTGATGGTGTCCTACAAGTCAAATTCTCGATGCAATCAGCTTGTTTTCCTTAGATGCAAAGTTTTTATCACTCTGACTCGGTGACTGGGCCAACTTTCAGCCTGATGGTGCGTCGTGAGTCGTGTAGTGTACAGGGGGTTTCGAGCGGCGATCAGCCTCTCACGATCACCTCCCGATCAGAAATCGTGAGGTCGGGAGAATATCAAACATGTTGGATTTTCTCCCGACCATCGTGGGCAAATCGCTCAGGGCGCATGCGCAAAGAAGGATTGTTCTTTTTATTCTTTCTCTCAGATGTAAACACAGCAGAGTGGCAGGGATGCAATGAGTGAAATGCAGTTCTGTCTGTAAATTTGACAGAGCGTAGTAGCCACATTTGCTCAGCCATGTCTTTTTTTCCAAATATGTTGTAATCTTTTCTTTTTAGGACTTTCAGCACAAAATTGCACAAATTGACATGGCAGCGTAGTTCACTTTAGTGACCTTAATATCCCCCTTCTATTTGTTTGGCTTCAGGATAGAGAGCTACAGAGCAGCTCCATCTCACTGCGGAGCTCAGTCCGACATGGTTTTTAGACGTACAGTGTGAGCAGGTAGATTGCATGAGAGCGTTGGGCCGAGCATAAATCGTGAACTGTGAACTCACACTGTACGACTAAACCCTGCAGTTAATCGTACAGTGTGAGCAGCAGCTGCTTGCAACGAATGAAAAAAATTGCACAGTGTACGCCCGGCTTTAGCTCACCCTTCATAGTCCTCAACTTAACTGGAAAGACAATAGAGTTGAGTCATGGAATAACCACCTACTGTCAAACTGTCTACAGTCGACCGCCTCTCCAGTCTTATATTCTAAGCTGCTAAATGCATTAGACCTCACTAAGACCTTGTATTTATTACAGAGCCCTTAACTAGATCACTCTGAAAAATAAATATCAACTTCCTTATCTCTCAGCTGCTTTTGAACTGGTTCATGGTTCACATTTATTTAAGAAGTTGCATCTCTAAAACACCTACATTACCACCTCGGCAGAATTAGAGAAGGAGACAAATGGTATACTACAGTCAAGACCCTCCTAGGTAATTTTGAATATTTGGTAATGCCATTTGGTCTCACAAATGCAATTGCAGTTTTCCAGTCCCTTGCGAAATGATGTTTTCTCCACGACCTTATCCAAAAGCAAGATCCATGTGCGTTAAGTTCTCCTACGTCTTCTAGATAACCAAATCTTTGTCAAAGCCGAGAAGTGTGAGTTTCAATGTCAATCATCTTTTAGGGACACATTTTGAGAGCAGGCATTTGAAGACAGATTCAAGCCATTATCAAATAGGCTACTCCCGTGCAAGCAGCTACAACTTTTTTTTTAAGGTTTAGCATTTTCTACCGCATATTCATTACAAAATACACTCAAACTGCTCAAATTCCAAAAGAGCTTTTATTTAAATGTCTCAAGCAGAACAAAAAAAAAAAAGATTTTAAAGAGTGGCACCACTCATTGGGGGCTGAATGTGATGTTATTGTGTGGACTGTCCACAAGAATCTGGCCTATCTCCATGAAGCAAAACATCTGAAACCTAGACACTGGTCTCTGTTCTTTTCCCCTTTTAACTTGGTCATCATTTACCATCCAGACTCCTACAAACACCAAACCCAATGCTCTCTCTAGGCAATACCAGTTACCAGGCACTCAGTGTATCATTCAACTTTCCTGAGAACTGAGGGCATTATCATTGGAAATGAAAGATCTAGTCCTAAAGGCTCAGCGGTCTAAACCGGACCCTTTTATGTTCCTACTTCAAATAGGTCCCACCTCATTTACTGGGCACACAAGGCAAAATTCTCCTGCCATCCTGGAATAGACTGAACTCTTGTACTCCTTAGACAAAATTCTGGTGGTCTTGAATATGTAAGGTTGTTAGAAGCTGTGTTCTAACCTGTCCAGTGTGTGCCGGTAACAATAATATTCAGTTCTGGGCCCTTCTGCAATAACATCCAAAGAGGGTCTGATAAGGGGGAGGCCAAATCCAAAATAACACTTATTGTTTTGAGACCAGGCTGCACAGGAATGTTCCATCAGCGTTCAATCTTTTCTTGCTGGCTCCACATGGGGAATACAATATTCCAAATGTGTTGGGCTTTTACACCTTGAACCGAGCTTGCACATCCAAGATACTATCCCATCTCATCTTTGAGTTCAATCACTGCAGCCAGCCTGCAAGTCTTCCAGGAGTCCAGGGAGTATTCCACAAAGTATGTGCTGGCAAGACAGGAAGGGTGCCCTTTTCTCTGTCTTCTCGTTGAGAAAATTTGATCAATTGCATTGAGAGACCAGCTGACCAGATCCATTGTTTAAATCCAGGTGATATGAAGAGAGGGCTCAGAAAAGCAAGACGCAGGATCAGGGAGATATAGAGCAGCAGGAAAATGTGACCACCTCCTTCAAGAGACAGAACAAAAAACAAGCTTTATCACCTATGAACTGAGGTCTAAATCTTGATGTTTCCCTTGCATTAAAATTGCTATTTATAATTACATAGGAGTTGATACGCTTTGCAGAGGCAGACATATTTTGCGCTACGGCAGTGCAGAGCTGACAAAGTACTGTTTATAGAGATCGCCATTATCCTCCAATGAGACTTTGTCAAGTTAAGTCTATATGCTATTCTACACAGACTAATAAAACACTATTAAATTTATCTATTTAAATCTAAGTTGCTTTTTTATGAGCAGATTCACATCTTTCTCCTGCCCTCAGCCCATGTTGGATTTGGGCAGAGTGCCCCAAACAGGTGGACGATTCACATGGACAACAGAGGTAACGGGACACGGGGTATCAGTGTTAGGACACTGGGAGAGAGAGCTCCATAACCAGGATGAGTCAGCCAGCTATGCTGCCCCTCTGTGGCTAAGGAGCTGCAGGGGCAGAGGTGGCAACTTGCTGCTTGCTGCAGGTTGAGAGCTGAGGAGCACAGTGGTAGTGGTTCAATAAGCTTGGAGATGCCTGCCACATAACAGCACTGATGGTCCAGAAAAGGCAACAGTTGGCCCTGGCTAGCCAGAGATTAACTACGCAGGATAGAAGCCATACAGTGGAATATCAGAGTAGTCCGCTGGGCAGACAGAAGTCCGAATGCGGGATAATGTGGCTGTAGCTTACCTTGAGGAGGGCAGCATGCTATGAAAAGAGCCTGCCAGGGTGACGAAGTAGGAAGAGATGACAAGGCGCCAAGGCTAGGCTCTAGAGGCTAACTGCTGGAGATGGACAGAGGACCGCTGGGGTCAGAGGGCATAGTGATCGGCTGAGTGGGATGAGAGAAGGCATCTGATCTGTGTCTGTGATGGAGGTATGATATGAAACAGTCTTTCTAAGGCTACATTAAAACTGCATTTGTAAAATTCACTCACAAACCACTTAAGAGCACGTCCCTTCTTTATCCTTTGTAAACAATATTTTCTGTCTTATTTAAAAAAGCTTGTGTCTGTGCCCTCCTTCACTGAAACAGTGGTCAATTCAAGATACTTTCCTATGTCCTAATTTGTATACTTGTCAATGTACTTGAAACAACAGTATTGAAGAATTTATCCACTTGATGCTTATTTGATGCTAAATAAACCTTGTCATAACTTGGCAATATAGGTAAATTGGACATTACAGAAGCAATTTTGTACGACAGCCTCCGTATTGTTGGAGGAGTCAGTCAGTGGGGGGAGGGGCCATTCATTTTACTGCAGTTGGCCGTCTGACCGTTAGATGTTGCTGAAAATTACACATTCTAGCTTTAAGAGTGATATAAACAGTTTGTGAGGTCAAAATAAAGAAGCAATAGTGGAGGTGTGATTTTGTTGTTGTGTTCTGAGACATTTGATTAGTTGAA